ACTGTAGTAGTAGTAGGTTGTACTACTACTGTAGTAGTAGTAGGTTGAACAAGCTGTACTTGTTCAGCACGCAGAAGACACTTTGATCAAATCATCAGAACTGCAGCAGGTGTCAGAGGAAGGCCTAGAAAATGCTGGAGAAATTAGTGACAGCCTCTCATACAGGGTGGTTTCCTTCACATGTGCACCTAAAGTGACTATCTAGAGTCACATTATAGGAGAATGTTGCGTTCATGTTCGATTTTCCTAGTTATAAAGTTACTTGCTGTCAGTTAAGTAAATTAGCCATTTCAATAACACTTGGTACTTTGACCACTTTTACCTTTTTAAAGTTACTTTGTATCCAGATTGCCTAGACTAATTACTCTTCTGCTTTTACTCACCATCTAACTAATTTTCTCCTCCTTTTCCTCCCTCTATCATATTTCAGATCATTCATCTTCAGGCGAGGAATAAATAGAAACTGACGGCTCAGATGTGCTCAGAAACGCTCTATGTTAAGGCTATTACCAGCATGCTGCTGAACTCTTCACACTCAAGACCTTCCAAGCGCAAAGTTCAAGATAGTATACTCAAGGAAAGTCCTTCGGTAAAACAAAAGACAAATTTCAATGGAAAATGTGAGAAGAAATGTAAAATTAAAAACACAAAACAAGTGCCGGGCGGTGGTGGTGGTGCACGCTTTTAATCCCAGCACTCGGGAGGCAGAGGCAGGTGGATCTCTGTGAGTTCGAGGTCAGCCTGGTCTACAAGAGCTAGTTCCAGGACAGGCTCCAAAGCTACAGAAAAACTCATCTCAAAAAAAAAAAAAAAAAAAACCCACAAAACAAGTTGTGGATTATGGCATTTAGGTTACCAGCAAAAGAATTAGACAATAAAAAGAGTAATGCAATCTATTTGGTGTAACAGCTCATCAATTATGCTATTTTAGACTGGGATCGTGGCAGTGGGGAAGGAGGCAGGGCTTGCACCTGCAAAGCAACACACAGACACAGTATTTTCCATTCATTTCTCTGATGCCTTCGTCTGACCTCTATGACGGCTCTACCGAGATGACAGAAGCTACTGAAGTAAAATATAGCTGCTGCCCTGCCCTGGCCCTGCGTTTGCTCTATGCCAGGGAAGAGAGCTGGCGCAGTGGGGTGGGAATGCAGTTTATTGGCAGAGACCAGGCACAGCTGTGGGAGGCGCAACCCTTCAAGAAAAGAAGAGTAAGGACAGATTGTTTGACAGAGAGGGACAGACAGAAGTTAGAGCCACACTCTTTTCACGGAGTACATGCTATCAAAGGAGACCAACCCCGCCCAAAAAGTATAAGGGCACAAACAAACATAAAGAAATGTTAGCGGACAATCTAAAAAGGTTTTTTTTTTCTCACTTTTGATTTAAAAGGTGCTCAAGAAGGCAGCAATAAAATATTTCTCCCCATCAACAGGTCAGAAATGGAAGACAATGACAACCCTGAGGGTAAGAAGAGTGTAGATTCTCTTATACATTGCTGGGGAGGGGACAAACTGGCACATGCTTACTATGGGCAATATTGCAGTCCTCAACAGACCAAGCAGTGTACCAGCCCTGCTAGGTCTTCAGAAACGTATTCCAGCAGGATAGTTAGATAACACTGCTATTCACTGGAGCTTGGCATACATAGTTTTTAACTTTTCACCTGTGAATTTTCTGTTTTTCCTCCAGTAAGTTTTTGGAGAAGTCTTTTGGTTCTAAAATTAAAGAGACTGAGTACACTTATTTTCCTGTATAATGATTGTGTTTTGCTTCTTGGCAGAGTGGGCCAAGTCCTGCCTTTAACTTTAATCATGCCTTCTGGTACTCCCGGAGCAAACAGAACCCACGCAGGTCTTCGGCAGGTCCTGTTTCGTACTCTGCTGCTCCTGTTAAATTTCAGAGAAATTCACCTTGTGGGTTCCTACCTTTATAAAATGTTTAGAGAGTGTTTTGAGCATTTCAGAAAATTTGCTGGTTTTCTTTTCAGGGACTGGCAAGATCTAGAAATCGCGGGGAAAGTTTCTCCCCACAGTCTCTTCTTGAGTTAACAATCTCTCAAAGAAAGCTAGTAAAGGGCAAACTAGACTTGTGCAGGGCTGAGAACTTAACGTCTGAACCAGAGCTGTGTGTATGCGGCTCCGGACAGAGCGCTTGTTGAACACGCTGAGGCCCCATTCTGAGCAAGGGCGTCGGACAGGTACATAGGTCACAGGTGGCCCCATTTAAGCCTTCTTCCTCCTCTGAGTTGGAGGGGAGAGAAGTCAAAACTTAGAAGCCGGAAAATCGCATCTCCTAGAAGAAGGACTAAGGTTGAGAACCCCACAGGAAAAGCGGGCAACGGGAAAACTACAAGACTGGCAATAAGCGTGGTTCCTACAGGTGTGTACAAACAGATCCGCTCTCGCTGACCCTCGAAAAACCGTTCTGGTTCCTACCGGTTTTGGAAGGCAACTTTGCTCTTGCCAAGATTTATTTCCTTCCTTCCTTCCTTCCTTCCTTCCATCCTTCCTTCCCTTTTTAAAAAATTTCTTTATATTTATTCTCTGTGTCTTTCACATCATGCATCTCGACCCCATTCATCTCCTCGCCCCATTAAGATTTCTTAACAAATAATCCACAGTCGCTAACAACTCTATGTGTAAACGCCCAATTAGTCTAACAGGCGCCCCCCTGGAGAACCAGGGCCTACACCAAGTCACCTGCTCTCAGGCCAGAACAGGGCATTTGCGGTCAGTACTGAGTAATCTGGCTTGCTTTCTCTACATCGCTGAGAGAAATCTGAGACTTAAACTTGGAGCCGTGGATAGTCAGGAGTCCACGAACATTTCACAGCTAGTGGGGTCACCACTATTTCCAGGCCGTCTTTAGCCTTCCCAGTTTATCTCAGTTTCCACTCAACCTGCCCCTTGAGAAGCGGCCACCCCCGAACTTTCCGTCCAGATGAGGTGCCCTGCCCGCACCCATCGCCCTGTTAAGGGCAATCCACACGCGCTTAGCTAGCCACTGGAAATCCCTTGGACCCTCTCGCACATCTCCTGGCTTTCGAGAACTCTGCTTCCACTCTCTCGACCGGCACCCGTCTGGGATTCGTTGGGGATAAGATCTAAGAAATGCGCCCTGGGCCACAAGCAGCCTAGGAGGCGGAGTTAGGAACAACTTTCCCTCCGCCCTCTAACCGCAAAACCCGGGTGGGGCGGTCTAGCCCGGTCCCGGTCCCCCTCCTTCCGCGGCTGGGATCCCTAACCCCGAGTCCGAGCAAAGGCCGGTGACGAAGGCCCGCGAGCGGTCAAAGGGGCTTTCCTTCCCGCTGCAGCCCCACCAGATGTTAGAGGCGCAACAATAGTGGAACCGCGGAGAAACAAAAGGCCATTCACCGGAAAGATGAGAATGGCTCTGTCGCCGCGTCTCGACGGGGAAGACTTACATAGGGGTCTCAAAGGGGGTTGGGAAGGACCCTGAGTGGTCTAGCGCGTCTCTGCCACGCCACAGGAGGCGAGAGCCGCTCTTTACCACTAACCACTCAACTCTGGGGGTCCATGCTGGGGAGGAGAAATCAAAGCAAAGTTTTAGTTTTCACCTTCTCTGGTGCAGGAAAGGGAGGGGCTGCGACTCCAGATGTTTGACAGTTGTTGGCCCAAAAGTAGAGCAAGATTTATTTGTTCTTAAATACCCTCCCTTCACGAGGCATCAGTAGCCTGGGGGCAACCCCAGACGATGAACTGTAGACCCACGCAGTCCCACGCTGGGTTCAAGCGCGTCCCCCCTGCACAGATGCACTTTTGTAAAAAGTTTCTCTTCCCACCGCCGCAGGCCAACGCGCACCCTACCCGCATCTGGGATTCAGAAAGGGTTCGGGGTGAGATCTGCACCCGGAAAGGGGTTGGAGTGGGTGTTTTAAATCAAAGCCAAGGATCCCTGGCTAGGAATTGGACTCATGTTCCAGTCCGGGAAGTGCATACCCGGAGGCATAGAGAAGCCAAGGAGCCCGCACCGGTCTAAACCAGACTCCAACTCCGGAAGCTTGCGGACTGGGGACGAGGACCGGCGTCCGCGCGGTCGATCCGCCCCCAGGTGTGCCCCGCACCTCGGTCCTCCTGGGCACAATCCGGAGCGGGAAGCTGTGGAACTGAGCCCGCCTGCCCTCTCTTGGAAGAGTTACTTACCGTGGGGTTTTAACCTTCAGCCTAGGGCCCTACGGTCTTCCTTCGCGCGGGTAGCTGCAGCTGGAGCAGGAGAAAAAGAGTGAGCTCCTCCGTCCTGAGGAGCGACACTTGGCAGATCCACGCGAGGGGTTTTCTGGCCAGCACGAGCGACTCCAGACGCAGCCGCCGCCGCTCTGCTGCGGCCCCCACATGAACCAAGCGCGCCGCGCAGCCCGCCAGGGCGCCACTGCAGTTCATCGGCGCGGAGCAGAGTCCCCTGGCGGCCTCCTCTGGAAAGGCAGCTTCGTGGGAGAAAGAGGAGTCTTGCTGACTTTAGGATCCTCTATCTCCACAAGGGCCTGAGACAATGTGCAGTCTAAGAAGTCTCTCTGCTTTGATCCGCTGGCCAGCGTAGCTAGAAAGATGCCAGACTAGAAATGATGTTATCCTGGTTGGGTTTTGTTAACTTGACACGAACCTAGGAAGAGGGAATCTTAATAGAGAGAAAACCTCCATAAGATAGCCTATTGGTAAGCCCATCCAGCATTTTCTTGATTAATGATTGACGATTGACGTGGAAGGGCCCAGCCCACTGTGGGTGGTGTCAATTTGAGGCAGGTAGTCCTGGGGTGGCTAACAAAGAAGGTAGAACAAGCCGTGAGAGGCGAGCCAGAGCCGCGTTCCTCCATGGCTTCTGTTTCAGTTCCTGTTTCCAGGTAACTGCCTTGAGTTCCTGTTCTGACTTCCCTTTGTGACGGACTATGGTCAGAACGCATAAGCCGCATACACTCTCTCCGCTCTAAGCTGCTCTTGGTCCTGCTGTTTTATTACATCAACAGAAACCCTACGTAGAGTCCACAAAAACGTTTTTTGAAGGCGCCCAGAAAGGGCCAAAGGAATTACTATTCTCCAAAAATGTTTTGACTGTTATAAAATGCCTTATACTGCCTGACTCGCCTTAGAAACTGCTTTAAATCGCTGAAAAAGAAATGCTTGGAAGGCATGCCTACCTCGCAAGGTGGTCGTTAGGAGCAAACCAGCTATTAAAAAGTATTCTTAGTTCAGGATAGATGTCTTCAAACACGAGCTGACTTTCTGAGAAAAAAATAAAGTGAATTTGTTTATATGCCTTTATTCTCTTACAAAACATCTTAATGCATACTGATTGGGTAGCATCGAATGACTTGACTAGGTATTGTGTTCCATAATTCCTCCTACACACACACACACACACACACACACACACATATCATACAGACACACATATATACATGTAAATGTGGAAATATGTGTATATACTATATATATCATATATACACACATTTATTATATACACAGAATAGTTCCTCTTCTCACTCCGACTAGCCTTTTCATCACAAACGCCTCTCTATGTGTGATGTCTTTCTAGGCTCACACAAATGTTTGGGAAGCTCCTGCCATGGGGCCTTAGTACTTGCTAAACCCTCTGCCTGGAATGGTCTTATCCATTCCCCTGCGGCACTCTACTCAGAGGCCTTCCATTCCCTACCCACATGCCCTGCCCTAGTTTTCTCCGCATAATGAGTTGCCATTGGACACACTTTGTTCACCCCTCATGTTAGTTTTCTATGGGGGAAAATAAGCCAGAAACTTAAAGACTAAAAACAATATGAGCAGGGCTGAAGAGGTGGCTCAGTAGTTAAGAGTACTTGTTACTCTTCTAGAGGGCGGGAATTTGATTCCCAGCACCCACTGCCAGAAACTCACAATCGCCCATAACTCCAGTTTCAGCAGATCAGACCCGCCCCCTTCTGACCCCACAGGCCCCTGTATGAGCACAGTGCACATAAACTTATGCAGGCACACATACATGAACATTCATAATGAACCTTGTTAAAAAACAATATAATCTTGTGTGATGAAACATAGTCCAGCCAGGTTTCTCTCTCCATGGGAAGGTTGCTGTTTAGCAAACTCAGTCCCATCTGCAACTGAATTCCCCTTTACCACTGTAATGTGATATTGTCATAGGTTATAAACATACACTATGGCTGGGCGGTGGTGGCACACGCCATTAACCCCAGCACTCGGGAGGCAGAGGCAGGCAGATCTCTGTGAGTTCAAGGCCAGCCTGGTCTACAAGAGCTAGTCCCAGGACAGGCTCCAAAAGCTACAGAGAAACCCTGTCTCGAAAAACAAAACAAAACAAAAAAACAAGACAAAACAAAACAACAACAACAACACAAACGAAAAAAACATACACTATGCAACTGGGGGGCACAAATTGTGTCTATAAATACCAACTTACTTTTTTTCAGGAGAAGGGGTGTAAACAGGGACTTTTGTCTGTCTTGTTCATTGCTATGTGCCTAGACTGTTTTATTTAACGTGCAGGTCCCTTCAATGGAATGAACTCTGTCTCCTCGAAATGCATCTGTCTCCTCGAAATGCAATGCTGATGCATTGAAGGCTCAGCCCTCAAGTGAAAGGGTTTAGAGATAAGGCTTTGAGGACTGAATGGGTCACGAGGATGGGCAAGGCTCTAACACTGGATTAGTGACAGAGGAAGGAAGACTAAGAGGAAGACTATGATGAACAGAAAGTGGTGGATGAGCAAAGGAGACAGAGTAAGAGAGTGTTTTCTCCACCAAGCAAGGACACAGCAGGAAGGTAGCCATCTGCAAGCCATGAGGAGGCCCCTCACTAGGCAGCAGCGTGCTGCCTTCCAGACCCCAGCCTCCAGAATGGCTATCTCCTATCTCAGGATGTTGTCTTCCACCACCTAGTCTATGGTGTTTTGATATGGCAGTCCAAGCAGACCAACATAACACCCAATAAAAACTTGTTAAGTCAGCCAGTGAAAACACTTGACTGTAAGCATCGCAATATATAATCTCTACCACATACCCCAAGTGTGGCAAGTATTTGCTAAGCACTTTACATGGAATGCCTCCTTTAATTTTCACAAGCTATCTATATACTAGGTACAGGTGAGTGAGCATAGATTTAAAAATGGAGGTAAGTTGCCTGAGGTCAAGATTTAGAAGGCAGCATAGACAGTCTTGATTGTGTGCCTGAAGCAATGGCTGGAACCCTCACAGCTCCCTGCTACTCTCATGGGGCAAGGGGCAGCCCTGGATCTTGTTCTAAAGGTGCTTATAATCTAGTAAGAATGACAAGGGAACACAAAAGCAGCAGAGCAAAGAAGACTATGAGAGGGTTAGGCTAGCCAAGAAATGACCAGAACTGTCTACAGAGCTTGGAGAAAGGGAGTGGAATGGCATAGAAAGGATTGTGCAGATCTTAGCGGTGGGGCAGTTGAGCTGAGCTTGGAAATGGTAGCCATTGGTTGGAGTTAAACAGAGATGGAGAAAGGCAGAAAAGAAATTGAACGATGCTCTGAGCCCAGTTGTTTGGAGAACTGGTCATGTAGCTAAGTAAAAAGGATTGGGATCCCAAGTGACTGAAGACCAGAGGAGCAGTCATGAGATTTGGGATTGGTTAGTGGGGAAGAGTCACCTGGAGTAACTGTTAAAATGTGATCTGAGGTGGTAATTCAAAAGATGAGAAGTACAAGAGCAAAATCAACTTGTTGCTGGGTAAATATTGTCAAAAGACGTAACTATCATTTTCAGTTTTTTTTTTAAATTTTACATGTATGGGTACATGTGTGTATGTGTAGCACTCCTGGGACAGTTGGGATCTGCCATGTGGGTGCTGAAGATTGAGCCTGAGTCCCCTGAAACAGCAGACAATATACTTTACCATTGAGTCATTACTCCAGCCTCTATTTCAGTCATTCTGAAAGGGTAGTTTTGGGCCCATAATTCGGGGTTTAGAGCACAATTTGATATACCATGGATCAGTGCCTCTCAACTTTCCTAATATTGCGATCCTTTAATACATCTCCTCATGTTGTGGTGATCCCCAACCATAAAATTATTTTCATGCTACTTCATAACTGTAATTTTGCTACTGTTTGAATTATATTGTAAATATCTGATATGTAGGATATTTGACATGTTACCCCTGTGAAAGGGTCATTCAACCCCCCAAAGGGATCTTGACCCATATGTTGAGAACCACTGCCTTAGATATATATATAAGGTCTAAAAAGAGCAACAGTTGGCAGTGACAGTAACTGACCTATTTCTGACCTTTGGACAAGTAGTGTAGGAGGGTCATCTTTCTATGTGTTGCTTTCATTGGTTAAATAAAGAAATTGCCTAGGCCTTTTGATAGGGCAGCAGCTTAGATAGGCAGAGTAGACCAAACAGAATGCTGGGAGAAAGAAAGCAGAGTCAGGCAGACACCATGGCTCTCCTCTCTGAGACGGACATAGGTTAGACTCATCCCGGTAAGCCACAGTCACATGGTGATACACAGATTATTAGAAATGGGTTAATTAAGATGTGAGAGTTAGCCAAGAAGAGGCTAGAACTAATGGGCCAGGCAGTGTTTAAATGAATCCAGTTTCCGTGTCATTATTTTGGGTAAAGCTAGCCGGGAGCCAGGCTGCGGAAAGCGGCCCACCGCTTCTTTTACAACAGACAAGTGTTGGTTAGTTTATATTGTAAACTTAACACAGCCAACAGTCACCTGCAAAGAAATCTCAATATTATCTTGATCAGATTGACCTGTGACCGCGTCTATAAGAAACTGTCTTGACTGATGATTGACGTGGGGGGACACTCTCCTCTGTGGGCGGCACCATTCCTAAGCAGGGGGTCTGAGCTGTATAAGAAAGCTAGCCGAGCACGGATCCAATAAATGAGACAGTAAACATTGTTCTTCCACGGCGTCTCCTTTAGTTCCTGCTTGAATTCCTGCCTTAACGTCCTTCCGTGATGGACTGCGCTCAGGAAGTTCAAGCTGAAATTAAACCCTTTCTTCTCCAAGTTGATTTTGGTCATGGTATTTATCACAGTCACAGAAGACAAGTTAGAATAGCAAGCGTGAGTTCTAGTGTTTCCTTTTCACGGAGAAAGAAAGCAGCTGTGATGGTAAGTGACTTGCCCAACGCTATACAGCGAGAAAGACTGGAACACTGCATCCAGCTCTTACTCCCATGATTCTTCATGTGAAGAGGACACAGATGCATATTTGTCTGAATTTGCAACATGGCCAGCCTTTGGCTGTCCTCAGCTTCAGAGTCCTCTCTAGGTTTGCACAGAATATAACTAAGGAATTTGATACAGGGAGAGTTTTGTTCTTTTAAAAAGAATATGATGATGGGATGTCCCGGGCGGCTTGCGGAGTCCGGCAAGGATGGCCATGAGTCCCTGCAACGCCATGCGGCCGGGGGAGTCAGGTGGGCGGTTACGGCGGATAAAAGGCTCACAAGACATAGTAAATAAACATAAGGATAAACATTTATTACTTAAAAAAAATAAAAAAAAACCAGAGAGATAGAGATAGACAAATATAAAGACATAAAGACACAGAGACAGAGAGAAACGTGTGCACACGACAGGAGACAACCACACAAGAGGGAGAGAAAGATGGCGAAGGGGGAGCAAAGGGGGAGGTCAGAAGTGGCTGGGGGGGCGTGGTTAGTTCTTAAAGTGGCAGCAGAAGACTAACAGAGAGGACCCAGGAATCTTAACTGCAAGCTCTTACAGGAAAAGGAGAAGGAACATGCTCACCTCACCTGAAAGATTCCAGAGCCATGAGGTGGTGCGGCAACTAAGGGTCA